ATGTAATGTGTATGTGTTTCAGTACTTTTAGTACTGACTGGGAAAGAAGAGTTAGAAAACATAATGGTGAGGAACTCAGATTAAGTTGGTAATGACAAAGGAATATCTAAAATCTATGAGTTGGTAGAAACAGTTGTACTGAGTGATAAATTCTGAACTCTTCTCTACTGGGTGCTCAACCTAAGCCATTTCTTGTTTTCTAAATTCATTAGAGAAACCTATTACTCTGTTCATATTTGTTAACTGCGCCTCATTAAATCATGTCAGATAGATAAATGCTGCTTCACTGTGCTATAGGAGAAACTGAGGAATGTGGCAATTAATTTACTTGCCCAAAGCTACACAGCAAATCATTGAGAGGTTGCTGTGAGTCACTTGGAATTCATCAGAAGATTTGCCCTTAAACTTCCCAGCTTGAATAAGCAAGAAACTATTTCCCCCTGAATCCCATCTTTCCCGTGTGCACTGCTCATTTGTAAACAGAGTGATGCTCATTAAATTATTAGTAATCGGGTTCTGGATCTCAACAGAAGTGGTTCTTATAGGGGAATTGTTCCAATGTCTCAAATGCCTAGTCCAGGACTGAACTGAAAGTCCTATTTTTATCTGAAATCACATGTGGTATATTGTCCAAAAGAGATGGCAAACAAGCAGAACTGTTTTGAGATGGGAAGGTCGGACAAACAGAATGGTCAGGCATGTTATGGGTGATGCAGCTTGCTCATACTGTGTGAATACTATGGCAAATGGACCATACAGGCCACAGCCCTCATTGCTTATAAGCCCTCAAACTCAAACAGCGCAAAGCCGGAGGAGAGGGAAAGATGATTTCTGGTTTCCTGCACCTGTCACTCCACATTTTAGCTGGAAAGTCATTTTCATCCATTTAGCTGAGAGAGAAGGGGAGGCAAGGGAGTTGGCGCCCTCTCCAGACACACTAGCTTGGTGGTCTCACTCTTCTTACCTCTTCATCCCCTGGAATGCCCCCATTGCCTCCACACCAAGGTCAGTTTTCCAACCTTGGAAAGGCAGCTGGCTGCCATGGGGGCCGTGCAAATACCCTCTAAACTACTTGCTAAATACTTTGCTATATTATTTTACTAAGCAGCAAAATAAGGCACTGTCCATACTTCAGATATAATGCATATAGGATAGTCCTATAGATATTGAAATATACGTAGATGCAAGATAGACGTATGAATGCTGATGTAAGGCATTTGAAAGAAGTTGCAACTTAAAAGACTATTTCCATAAGGATAGCAAAACTCATGTTTTGAACCCATCCGACAATTCTCTCTCATAATTTCTGCCCCCAAATACCTCGAGACTTAAACCCAAATAGAAATCTAGCATTAGAAACCATCCTCCGATCAGTAAAATAAAGAATTTATGGCACAAGTCTGAATCATGGGTTTTACAGTCTACCTAGGGAAAAAGAGAGCCCACATCCATCCTGTTAGTACTTTATGAGTGAAAAATAAAAGTAAATCATATAACAGCAGCAGTAAAATAACCTAAGTTATGTGTATGTATGTTGGCAGTTTCAAAAACACATGTTATATGGATAAAGTTGCAGGAATCTTACAGTTTAATTCTTTACTGCATTTGTCACTAACAATAAACTATAAACTCCAGAATCACTGAAGAGGTTCTTTGGGGGGCTGTATTTAATTTTTACTTTGTTAACTGGATTTAGCTTCAGCTCTCCCTCATCCCAGAAGGAGTCTTGTTTGGATAACTGCAGCGCTTCACATGTGGAGCTGCCACTGAAAATAGTCCAAAAATATCAGAAGTTGGTCTGAAAGAGGGAAGAGATTTTTGACAGGGACTAGCCAATGTGACGATGTTATCCCCTTTTTTGTGAACTGCACTGGTTTCTTGTCCATTTTGGGGACCAATTCAAATTTTTGAAATTACTCTTCAAAGCCCTAAATGTCTTGAGCCTAATTAGGTGAAGGAGTATGTCTTTCTGTTCTCTAAAAGGACAGATACTGAAACTAAAACTCAAATACTTTGGCCACCTAATGAGAAGGAAAAACTCATTGGAAAAGACCCTATGCTGGGAACAACTGAAGGCAAAAGGAGAAGGGGACGGCAGGGGAAGAAGTGGCTAGATGGAGTCACTGGTGTGCTGATCATGAGGTTGGGTGGACTCTGGGGGATGGTGGAGGACAGAGAGCCTAGTGTGCTGTGATCCATAGGGTTGTGAGAATCAGGTACAACTTTGCAACTGAACGACAAATATATCCTCCAATGTACACCTGTCCTGATCCTAAGACAGTCTTTACATAACCTTCTCTGCCAGAGACTACTGTGGCCTTTTCAGTACCAAATGAAAACCTTTTCATTTCCTCAGACTTTATAGTCTTTAACTTTTCAAAACTGTACTTGCCATTTTTTGATCCTTGCACTGCTGATGGTTTTTACTTTAGTTTTATTTCACTGTTTTAAACATTTTAGATTTTTGCATTGTGTTTTTATAAGTTAGGGTCGCTATTTATTTATTTATTTATTTGGTGAACCACCCAAAATGTCAGTTATTGGGTGCTAAAAAAATGGTAAAGGAGAAAAATGGCAGGGACCTTACAGATATTAAGAAGATGTGCCAAGATTACATGGAAGTACTATACAAGAAAGCTATTAATGTCCCTGATAACCATCATGATGTGGTCACTGTCCTTGAGCCAGATATCCTGGAGTGTGAAATCAAATGGGCCTTAGGAAGTTTTAGCAACAAAGCCAGTGGAGGAGACAGTATTCCAGCTGAAAGATGATGCAGTAAAAGTGCTACACTCAATATGCCAGCAAATTTGGAAAACTTAACAGTGGCCACAAGATTGGAAAAGGTCAATTTATGTTTCAAGCACAAAGAAGGGCAGTGCCAAAAATGTTCAAACTACTGTACAATTGCGTTCATTGCATGCATTAACAAAGTTATGCTCAAAATTCTACAAGCTAGACTTCAGCAGTATATGGACTGAGAGCTACCAGAAGTACAAGCGGGGTTTTGAAGAGGCAGAGGAACTAGAGATCAAATTGCCAACGTACACTGGATCTTGGAGAAAGCTAGGGAGTTCCAGACAAACATCTACTTCTGCTTCATTGACTATGCTAAATCCTTTGACTGTATGGATCACAACAAATTGTGGCAAGTTCTTAACGAGATGGGAGTACCAGACCATCTTATTTGTCTCTTGAGAAACCTGTATGTGGGTTAAGAAGCAATAGTGACAACTGGACATGGAACCACTGATTGGTTCAAAATGGAGAAAGGAGTACGGCAAGGCTGTATACTGTCACCCTGCCTATTTAACTTATATGCAGAGCACATAATAAGAAAGGCCAGACTAGATGAATCACAAGACAGAATTAAGTTTGCCATGAAAAATATCAACAACCTCAGATATGCAAATGATTCCACTCTAATGGCAGAAAGTGAAGAGGAACTAAAGAGCCTCTTGATGCAGATGAAAGAGGAGGGTGCAAACTTTGGCTTGAAACTCAACATTAAGAAAACTAAGATGATGGCATCCAGTCCTGTCACTTCCTGGCAAATAGATGGGGAAGAAATGGAGGTAGTGACAGATTTTATTTTCTTGGGTTCCAAGATTCACCACAGATGGTCACTGCAGCCAAGAAATTAAAAGATGCTTGTTCCTTGGAAATAAAGCTATGGCAAATCTAGACAGCATACTAAAAAGAGACATCACCCTTCTGACAAAAGTTCGTATAGTCAAAGCTATGGTTTTCCCAATTGTAATCTGTAGCTGTGAGAGTTGGAAATAAGGAAGGCTGAGTGCCAAAGAATTGAATTGTGGTGTGACTTCTGAGAGTCCCTTGGACTGCAAAGAAATCAAATCAGTCAATCCTAAAGGAAATCTTCCCTGACTGTTCTCTAGAAGGACAGATACTGAAGCTAAAGCTCAAATACTTTGGCCACTTAATGAGAAGGAAGGACTCATTGGAAAAGACTCTAGTGCTGGAAATGATTGACAGCAAAAGGAGAAGGGGACGGCAGAGGTTGATGTGGCTGGATGAGGTCACTGAGGTGATGAATGTGGGGTTCGGTGGACTCCAGCGGGTCGTGGAAGACAGGAGAGCCTGGAGGAATGTTGTCCATGAGGTTGCAAAGAGTCAGACATGACTTTGCGACTAAACAACAACAACAACTAGAAATGTAGCAAATAGTTTTCTTCGTATATATACCTTTTCAGTGCATTTCATACATCTAATGATGCTTGCAAATGTTCATGTCACATTAAACCTGGAAGGAATCAGCAAACCTATGTAAAGCACTTATAGATTAAGTTGATTTCAGTGGGGGAGAATTCAAGTTGCATGTAACTCTCATGCTGGAAACAATGGAATGTAAAGGTGCTAACTGTGTCCTTAGTTTTCAAGGTATCTCAGTATGCAGTGCCTTTTTACTGCTACTGGTAAAATCATCTTTCAGAATTAGATATTTCTGCAAGCTGATGCATCATACAATATTTATAATTGTATAATACTACAAAGGAATTAAAGAAATGAGTTGCTTTTAAACAGGAAATTTTCAGAGAAAACACATTGTTGAACCATTATTATTTAATTTAGGATTCCTTTCCACCCTTGGCTTTAACAGCAATAACTTACTGTAGCTGTGACAATAACACAAAGTTACTTCTATACTGTCTGAAATGCCAATTCTGTTTATTCCCTGCCTTAGTGTGAATAGCACAGTAATGAAGAATTGTACCAATGACCTAACTGCCAAGTTAGCTAAATATTCAAAACCTTATTCTTACTGAAGCTGTTTCAGTTAAGATTCAGTTAAATTTCATGCCTTAAATTAATGTTAAAAGTGGTTTGCGACTGCCTTAGGACCCCGGCTTGCCAAAGAGAGATAATGATCCAACTTCAAGGAGTTCATTCAGCTGTTTAGAGATTTAGCTAAGTTCTGTGATCTGTTTTTACCAGGTGAGTTATTCATGATGCCTTTTGGTATCCTTTGTTATTTACAGACCCTACACAGTTTATGGTAGCACCCACCAGCATGGATGTCACTGCTGGCGAAAGCATTCTTCTGCCCTGCCAAGTATCTCATGATCACCCACTTGATATTATATTTACTTGGTCATTTAATGGACACCTGATAGACTTTGAAAAAGATGGGGATCACTTTGAAAGAGTTGGAGGGGTAAGTATTAATATTAGCAATTCCCCAAGGCTATTTGCCTTGAATGCTGAGAATTGCAACAATGAAAAAGATAAAATGTAGCTAAATATATTGGCATGCCTCTAGAAATGACATATCACATTCGTGTTACACCTTCATAACCCATGTTACCGGTCTTGTCGCCTGCTAACGCCAGGCATTCTCGCAGCTGTACTAGTCTACAGTAGAGTAACTTCAGCAGTGAAACACTTCACTTCATTGCCAATTCACTTCGCTGTCATTTGAGCTGACAGAACTGCTAGTACAGAAGTGAAATAGTATACCACTGGAGTAAACTAGTACTGATTGAGAATATAGGTGTGAATGCACCCACTGAATAGCAGTGCTGATTGTAGGAAGAGGTACATGCTTGCAGAAGGTTTTCTAGAATGAGGGTTTTTGTATCTTCATTGTTGCACTGTTCAGTTCGTGGTTTATCAGAAATCTATGCTTTTCAAAAGCAGCAGAGCATTAGGAAAATATATCAAATGTCAATCTTCGCAATCATGTGGAAACAAATGGGAAACTCATGGGCATTTGTCACTATGCTACAATGTGTGTTGTCATCAGATCATCTGTAGTCTAAAAGGTTCCTATTACTAGGCATGAAGCCACTGATTATGTGAGAGGAAGATTACCCATTTGTGTATACCCTTTTAAGATGCTACAAACATCCATAATGGGACACCATGGATAGCTACTCCATGAAGTTGAAGGAAGGTGTGTGTTTTACACATACACTACCTCCCAGGCAAGTTGCTGTTATACAAGAGTGGATTCTGATGATGCCATAATAGGCTCATGGCTCATCAGCTTGTCTGTATACTTCCTACAAGCTTGCAATAGATGCTGCCCACATAACTAGGCCCCGTTATGTGCCCTGCTACATGCAGAGTTTCAGACATGCTTGCCCATCCATGGAAAATCCAAACAGCTCCTATAGTATCATCCTGCTTACTGGGATGAGGGAGGTCCAAAAACTGTGCAGGCTTGGTCCAGGATTCAAAGAACCATAAAATGAGTACCATAAACCATCAGGAAAGTACTCTAAACTGATCAACGAGTAATCCTTCCCCTCTATGCACAGCAGACTGATTATTTTTAAATACCAAAGCTGGGGAGGGTTCTAACACAGTTTGGGTAAGGCACAACAAACAGCTCTTCAAAGAAAAAAGAAAGTCAAAACAAAAGCCATTCCTTATAAGCCAAAGCAGCTCTTTGGATCCCAGCCTCTCTCAATAGCCATTAGTGTTGCAGCTTTCTGGAAAACTACCTTAGTTCACTCTGGACCAAAAGAGGTTTGCTCCGTAGCAGTTCTAGGTGCACTTTTGTATTCCCTTGCAGTGTGTGCAGCCTGCATGAGGGACTGGCCCCCAGACCTCCTAAAATGGCCTACCAGTTTTAGAGCAATGGGCAAAAGCAGCAGTGGGACTCTGGCTCCTGTGCTTTATATTTAGCACTTTGCCAGCACAATGATGAAGAGTGGGAGCAGAGTGTGTGTGTGTGTGTGTGTGTGTGTGTGTGTGTGTGTGTGTGTGAGTGAGAGAGAGAGAGAGAGAGAGAGAGAGAGAGCGCGCACGCGCGCGCGCGTGCACATGTAAGTACAAAATTTTTGGTTAAAGCCATTTTAGCTACTTGATCTTTTATGTTGCAAATAATCTTAGAAAATGTACATATTTCAACAACAATAATAAAAACAATTCCACTTGCCTATTCAGTGTTCAGGCTTAAACAATAGCTTCGGATAGGGCCCCACACTTCTTCAGCCTTCAGCAGTAGCACTTACCAGAAGAAAAGGCAGTTTCACATGCTTTAGCAGTAGTGTGAGAAAACAGTGTGCTAAACTTCAGTTGGCCCTGGAACTTTCTTGCAAAGCATTCTGGGGTTGCAAACAATCTGCATTTTGTTTGCCATCACAGTGCCCTTCCAAAACGACTATCACCCTCTTCGCGCTGAAGAGCCGAGACTGACGCTTAGTCATTGGACTATGCCTATGATGTGAAACAGGCTTTACCTGAATCCAGCTGTCCCACTTCCAAGACAAATTCTTTACGCACTGGGCAAGACTGCTGTTTGTCTTGAGAAGAAGAGAGAAAATTGGAGTTGCTAACATTAACTACTGTCCCCTGACTGTTAGGCAGGTGTGAAAGATGAAAATCTGTGGAAGAAGCCCTTCAAGTCCTGCCCTGCAGGGGGCACAGGAGCAGCTGTTGCTGGCAATTTCTCCTAATTGTTCCGCAAAATTCCCCAAATTAGCACAATGTTAATATTCTTCCATTAAAAGCTAAAGCCACAATCGTTTCCTTAGAATTCCAACTTATGAGCACTGCATGGCAGCCCACGAGGAAATATTTTGGAGTCACCCAATCAGGAACCCTAATTAATTCCATAGACTTACTAATCAGACATGAGTATTGGGCATTTGGAGAAACAAATTATTGTCACTGCATGCCAGGTGATGCAAAATTTCCTCCGAGAGCCCCAGCCGAACCACCTTTTAATACAAAAATGTGGGCAATCAAAATGCTGGCTGTGGCACAAGACTATGGAAGGTACTGCAGATGCCTCGTAATTTGGGTTGGTGTTCGCGTCTTAAATGGATGGAAGCAGGCACCTGAATACCAATGAAGGCTATAAATTGGACGTCTGCAGCGTGGCAGAGCAAAGCTTGCCTATTTTTCAAGCGACGTTTGTGGCAAACTGTTTCGTTGACCTGAAGTTCCCATGTCCTTTTCAGGCAACCATGCTCTCAGCTCTTATCTACGAGGCAAGCTCGCATATCTTAAATGGGCCACAGCTAGAATTACAAATATTTTCATGAGCCAATGTAAAATAAATCCATTAGCCACAGTGTCCTTCATGTGATAATTATGTTTAGAGCTCATTAAAAAGTAATTGTAACCACTTTCCCCTACTTTATCAGCAGGATTCCGCTGGTGATTTGATGATCAGAAGCATCCAGCTGTATCATGCTGGAAAATATGTCTGCACAGTGCAGACGAGTGTGGACAAGCTATCAGCTGCTGCAGACCTGATTGTAAGAGGTATTTGAATTTTGTTGCTGCTGTTGTTACTGTTGTTACAAAGCCACATACCATTCTGGCTAAAAGCAGCTGTGGATAACAGCATAAAGCACGGCCTGAAACAGTTTAGTACCACCCTAACTTAACCGTTACCAGACAAGTACCTTCCAGATGTGTTAAACTACAGTCTCCATCCCAATCGCCCTACTGGATGGGGCTGATAGATGCCATAGTCCAACACATCGGGAAGATCTAAGTAGCAATCCAAAGGTACAGGTTATTTTACACAAACTACGAGAGGATCAATATAAACATTGTAACCCCCATACACCAATCATTTGTTTACTGACACAGGCCAATGTGATATTGCTGGCAGCATTATCTGTTGAACTTGGATGCATTCACGAGCTTTAAAAATAGAAGTAGCTGCATCACTGAGAATTCCAAGGACCCAAGTTTGTACCGGCTGTTTGTAGTCACCTGCAGGAAGGAATCTTTGACATGCGTGCTTCATTTTTCTGCTTGCCATTGGGGTTGTGGGAGAGTTGGGCAAAGGTAAATTGCTTACTCTGCTACGCTGGACTCCTTGTGACCCCTCTAGTGCGACTGCAGTTTACTCCTTTGCTTTTCCCAGTTCACACAGTGCTTGGGAAAGATACTGCTGTGACAACATGCATGCGGTAGCTCTGAGGAAATAAATGTGATCCACAAAACAGACTTTTGTGCCACAGCTTGGCTCCTTCAACACTACAGTTGCCTAAAGGCAGGCATCTGATGGCTGCACCTGGATCACACAACTAGCCAAGCTCACTCTCTTGACTGAGAAGAGTCAAGGGTGCTCAGGATTCAGATGGATTTGGAGTCTCGAAGTGACAAAATGAATTGGCAGCAATGAATCATTTTCTTAGAGCGACGTTAACTTACGAGTGGAAGTGAAATGTTCTTCCATTCAGAAAAGTTTATGGCAATATTAAACAGGGGCTGTTGGAAGTTAGTTCCCTAAAAAGATCAGATGATCGTTCATAGGTTGAGGAAATCAGAATGCATATGTTGTACTAAAGTACTGAATAGAAGTGGGGAACAGGTGGTGTTTGTCTGAAGCTAAGCTATGATTGAAGATCCAGGTTATCTTGGTCCTATGACTGAAGTTAAGGTAGCCTGGGTCTTGCAGAATGGGTGGTCACCTGCTGCCAATATAATAGGCAATGCTGTGATGGACAAAACTAGACCTTTTGCCTTTGGGCAAGGTCAGTTTTTCCTCCTGTCTATTCTCAGATTGGAATTACCAACTTCAGCATTATCTCATCTCCTGATGGTTTTGATCTAAAGTGTTGTCCTTTTGGATATGAATTACATGGTCCTTACCCAACATCTTCAAAAGCAGAGAAGTTATCCCACTCTAACTGGGAGAAGGGAGGAGGGAAAATGGAGGATGTGATCATTGTCCATTTAAGAAGACAGGAGTGGTTTATCAGCTGTTCCCTCAAGGGAGTAAGATATATTGTTGCTGCAGTAAATGTACACTCCATTTAATGAGGACAAGGCCCAATGAACAGTTTAAATACCAATAAATTAGCCTGCTAAATATTTAAAATCCATAATACTTGGAGTTCTTAACTGAAAGTATATGCATCATTTTGTAAGGAATAATCTTAAATTTTACTAGGACTCTTTTAGAAGAAAATATATTGCAAAAGCTTGCAAATATGGGTAACAGCTTTCTTCCTGTATGTTGAATTTTCTGTATCCCTCCCCTCACTTTCCAAAGGCATTTTCCTAGCACATTGCACCATCTACTGGATAGGAGAAAACAGCACTCCTCACCTGTAGGTGACAGCTACTGATGGAAAGGCACGTGCCTGCTCAGTCCATCACTTTCTGACTTAGGCAGAAAAACCCATTGATCAATGTAACGGAGATTCCCTTTCCAGGATCATAACTGCAAGTGTACCAGCTTCAGTTTACCACCCTACTTGCCTAAAATCAACCTGCTGATGGTAAAATACAGAGATCTCCAACATGTTAAAGGCTAAGCAATTAACTTTGACATAAGTTTAATTATTTGCCAAAAGATTTGTGGCCTCAAATAAATTAATTAGGTTGCAAACCTCCAGCAGGTGGCGACAGCTGCCAGAAATGGCTTTTACCAGCTTTGGCTGATTGGCCAGGTACACCCCTACCTGGAGAAACCAGACCTTGCTCATTACATCCCTACAGTGCTAGTGAAACATGGTTCGGGTGCAGTTGTCTCTGAAAACAATGCAGAAGCCCCAGCTGCCTGGATGCTTGCACAGGTCAAGTGATGGGCATCTATGACACTGATTCTGTACCAACTGCAGTACTTGCCACCGTGCTTCTGGACTGCATGCAGAGTACTGTTCCTAAGTCCAGAACAGAATCTGCTGTGTTATGTGCCATCACGTTATCTCTGATAACTTCCGGCAACCCTTATGAATGAAAGCTCTCCAAAATATCCTGTCCATGACTGCTCCATTCAGCTCTTCCAAGTGCAAGGCTGTGGCTTCCTTTATAGATTCAGTCCATCTCCTATTCGGTCTTCCCTTTCATCTTCTGCCTTTGACTTTCTCTAACATGATAGTCTTCTCCAGTGAGTCTTGCCTTCTTATGCTGTGTCCAAAGCATGACAGCGTCAGTTCTGTCATTTTTGTTCCCAGCTGTGGCTCAGTCCAGGGTATTCGCAAAGCTCTCCTAACAGCATGGGGTAGGTTATTTGAGGGACTACCTGCAGCTGCTTCAACATTAAGAGGTCTTGCCGGTAAAGTCCATCAAGCTGGCAAGTGCACAACATGGTGCCTTCACAGTGGTACCTCTACTGTTATGGAACTCCCCTGTAGAAAAAGTTCACTTAGATCCTCATTCTGTGAATTTTTAAGTTACTCAGTCTCCATTTATATGACCAATTTGAGTTGATCTAGGCTTTTAATTTTTTAATTATTTCTGCTTTATATTACTATTGTTGATCGAGAAGTATAATTTTCCATTATAACTTTATTTGTTAATGTTATCTTTTATCTGTTTTGTGATAAGTGTGGTGTACTGTAAACTACCTTGAAAGGCCAATACAACCCTTAACAGTGGTACTCAAATCTGAAATAATTATTTCTCAAATATTTAATCCAAATCAGAGATGGCCAAATGATCAATTTTCAGGGGCCAATCCAGATCCCATGCCAGTCATCTGTGGGCTGGAAGTGTATTTTGCCACAGAGAGTGACCACCTCATAGTCAGCCCCAGGCTAAGACCATTTTATTTAAATGATATTTTAACAACTCTTAATAATACCTATAGGTTTTAATTTTGTGGCCAGGGTGATTCTCGATTTTTATTTGTATTATTTTTCTGTATTATGTTTATTTATTTATGTGAGCCGTCCCGAGGCTATAAGCAATGGAGCAGCATACAAACATTCTAAATAAATAAATAACTAGTCAGTCATCCTCTGTACCAGAACTAGCAGGTGGCCCTCTCTCTTACAACTTTAATTTCCTTATACTGTTTTCAATCACAGGGCTACCAGAGCCCATATACAATGGCTTTGGGACTGAAGTTGATCCATGAGATTTCAGTGGGCCAGCTGTGCCCGATGATGACCGTGTTTCAATATACTCATGCAGTAATACCTTTACTTTACTTTAAGTAAAGTAAAATAGAAGTCACTAAACATTCTCACTTGTGCGACCGACCAACAGGAAAGGGAACGGGAAGCTAAAGGGGCTTTCAGTGGAATCTAAGTGACAGGGTGGCAGTGGTGCCTGATCTGAATGGGACCCAAATAAGTTCATATGGACCCAATCCAAATTCATGTCTTCTGAGGTAGCAAATTCTGACTTAAGATTCCGGAGCTGACCCATCCAACACATTATTTTGCAGCTAAGCATCCTTAGGGCCAGCATGTGACATGAGTGCCTAAATGCAATATTGCCTAGCGATCTCGTGATACCTGCATCTTATGAGTACCCTTGTAGCATTTCATTTTGAATTCAAATAGTTCAGTTTTTAAAGGTGCAACCTATTTGGCAATTCTGGGTGCAATTAAGTCATTTTAAAATCATAATTTGAAGCATGTCCTCTTCAGTACAGTCTTACATCTCAACACACTGGAACTAGCTCTGAATTAGGTTGTGCTCTGTGCCTCCAGCAAAAATACTCAAACGTCTCACAGCTGATCAGTCTTCTTAAAGCAGCCATTTCAAAAGCAGCATGGTGTAAGATTATGTTACCTAGCATGATATATGAAAAAGTCTTATCTGCCTAATGATCACTGGTTAGAATTTTTATAAGGAAAAATAAAGTAGCTCAGACTAATAACTTACTAATAGCTTACTAAAAGCACAGTTACACACTTGTTCACTCAGATGTCCTTTGGTATTCTGTGGGTTACTCCCAGGTAAGTATGCATAGCACTGTAGCCTACGGCTTCACTTAAAATGCTCCATTTCAGAGTAGTCTCAACTTTCAGCTTTTGAAACAGGTCTGTAATGTTTCCTTTTTCTACAAAGAATGGTCTAACTTTTTTCCTTACCTGCGAGCTAGAAGAATATTTCAACATGACATTGCCAAACAGTGCTTTTTTGAATACTAAATAGTAAAGTTTGCATTACTGCATGTAAACTTCTGGACTTGGAGGCTTCTGTGAATTATATACATGGAACAGAACATGGAGATGGTAGCCTCCTCCTTCTCCACCACATCCCACACAATGAATTATGTCTAGATTAAGCCCTGTTGGGAGTCAGAAAGGCAGTTTGTGTGAGGCAGATTGCCTTTTACACAAAACATATTTTGCATTTAAGCTGTGTGTTCAGTCTTTTTCAACACTATAGGCCAGGGTTCCTCACTTTTCAGTATATGGCTTAAAGCAAATTTTGAAATGGACTCATCCTTACCTATTTCATTTTTTAGAAAATCCCCCACCCCAAATATTGTAAAGGCTCAGAATGAGTTTGTGAAAATATGGCTGCTGACAGGCTTTGGAATAGCAGATAAAAGGCTTTGATCTTAAACCCCACTGTGACTTCCACACAGAGAACAGAGCTTTCCCACTATTATATCCCTCCCTACCAAACTGCTCTTGAGGGCTGGGAGAACTTTAGTGTGGGGTGGACAGCAAAGTTTGCAAGAGAAGGAAGGAAGGAGGAAAGAACAAAGGCAGGGGAGAAAGGAAGAAGCATGCAGCTGTACAAACATATATTTATCAAGCCCAAATATAATCCCTCAAGAGTATATTCTAGGAATGCTCAGCAAAATAGGACAGAAACTTCCATGTCTCAGACTGGCCACAAGTTTCAGAACGATACCATGATTGATGGCATCAGTTATGCTTGAGAAGTCCAGCAGAACCAACAGGGACACAATTCAACCTGCCTAGCTCCTAGTAAGATAACTCACCAAGTCTGTTTCAAGCCCAGCACAGACCTGTATCCAGACTTGAAAGTATCCAGATAATACATTCATTAAAAAAGAAAGAAAGAGAAAGAAAAAAGCCTGACTTGTGATACTACTGCCTGTTCCAAAACTACCCAGAACTGGCCAAAGCCAGTTTCTTCTAGCTTATCTATAATCTTGTACTATCATCATGTAAACTTTAACAAAGAAATCCAAAAGGGATAAGGATGATGATGATGATGATGATGAGTCAAATGCTTGTAAAGTGTAAATTCAAAGTCCTAGATCCATTTATCTGGACGCCCACAGGAACTCACAACCAAGTAGATAACTAAGGCTCCAAGCCTGTGTACACCTGTCTAAATGCATCTAAATGCATTAAAATTTGCTTCAAAGTGAACATGCATAGATTGTACAACAAGACATGGGGTAATTCTTATGCATAAGCTCACAGCGTCTGTTCTTTCACGTCTGAGATCCACATCTCAAAAATTTTAGGAACTTCCTTGGAATTCACACATTTCATATTTGTTTTTTTTCAGCATTGCAAAATGTGCATATGGACTCATTTTCTGTCAATTTTCCTAAAGGCTTTTTTGGAAATGCAAGTAAGTCAGAAGCCGCTCATAATTTACAGAAGATAAAAGTGTGTTTCCAAGAGCAAGTTTCATGTGCAAAAGGATCAGTACAAGTCTTTCAGTCACTAAACATGGGAAATGCAACATCATAACCACTGTAGCTAATGTTTGATGGTCTTGGATTACAGCCAAACCTAGGAAAATACGGCACAAGATGGAAAGTCATTCTTGATGGAAGAGGTGCAGATGGTTCGAAACTAAAGCTTGTTGCTTAATGCAGCCCACTGTTTTTCAGTGCCTGATCCATTTTGCATATCCTTGCATTCGGAAAGCTCTACACAAGGTGGTCATATAAAATGGACCAAACATTGAAATTACTGGACTGCATTGGACAAGGTGTTCTGGCTTTGGATCATCTGCACCTTTTTTCATCAGGCATGAATATCCATCATGTGGAATTTCACCTTTGAGCTAAAAGGTAACCTTTTGCAATTTCTGAAGCTTAATTGGTTGGCTATTTCTACAGAATATTTTGTGCAAGATGCTTCTCACTCATAGGAGTTGTAACATTTGTGTTTGTGTGTTTCATAACAGGTCCACCAGGTCCACCAGAAGCTGTGAGCATTGATGAAATTACAGATACTACAGCTCAGGTATCTTGGAGGCCAGGAGCAGATAACCACAGCCCCATTACAAGTTATGTTATTCAAGCAAGGACCCCATTTTCTGTGGGATGGCAAGCCGTTAATACAGGTAAACAAACATTTCAGAACTTGCAGATCCTTTAGGCTTCCTGTATGCATAAAGCTGATCTTGTGGGGCAAGTGCCCAAAGGAATTGGGCTTAACAAAAGCGAAACTGCAGTGATTGCTGCAGTGTTGTACACACTGCCATGCAAATTGCTTCAGAGATTGCCATCAAAAGAATCGTGTCCCTTCGGTATAGCACATTTTGGCAACCTTTCTTTCCCAGGATCCCACTATCTGCTATTGCAGTAACCTGTACGCCAAACAGAAAGAAAGGAGGAAGGGAGCATGCAAAGTGCAGTAGAGGACGGTAGTTAAGTGGAGTGTGAATGCATAGACCTGCTGCCGCCTCTTTAGAAGCTGGGGAAGGAAGAGGAGGGGGAAATGGTCTGTTCCTGTCCTTGCCTTATGAAGGAAAGGCTGCATTTGCAATAGTTTGCATTTCCAATAAACTACACAGTACGTGTGACAGATGTGTGGGCGCACTGTGGCTTGTTCTCCTCCAATTTCTCCCTTAGTCCTCCAGCCTGTAACCCAGACTTGTCTCCTTGTCCTGGTCATTTCCCTACTCCATTTGTAACTTATTTTCATTCTCAAGATTTTTATATAGAAATGCAGTCCCTGAGGAGCCTGTGGAACATGCAAGTAGGTGTATAGCTGAAGTGGTTCTATTTTTTCAGCTCCAGAAAATTGCACAGATGTCTTATTTTTTTTTAAAGTATTGTGTTGGTCATTTGCAAGTGTGCACATGTGCACTTAGTGCTATCTGGTGTGTTTCTGCAGTGATTCCAAAAGGGAAAAATACTAGCTTCCCCCTTTTGGTGAACTTACTCAGGTTTCCAAAATTCTCCCTTTACTACCCAGCCCCCTCCATTTACTTCTTTGCCTTTAAATTTGCACAACTATTTCTGATAATTTAGGAGGCATTCAATGGAAGCTGGACAATTGAACACGTACAAGTGAGAAGTGTACCTTTGTACATGGAAAATATTGCCCACTCTTTTAGGTGCACCTGCTTCACTCTCCTCCCCTGCCCCTTTTTTCTCTCTTAGTAGTAATTTTCTCAAACATTGGCAAGTGGGCACAAATATACAATCTCTTTGCTAGTTTCCTTGTATGTTACCTACTGCACTTTGCTCGTTCTGACAGCAGAAACTGACATGGGGAGGACTACACCTCTCAGACATCTGTAAGTGTGCAATTGTGAAAGGCAGAGAAAAACTTTTTTAAAAAAATTACCAAGACATTTGCACCATTTTCTCATGCTGATTTTTTTTAAAAAGGCAAACAAATTACAGCCACTTCAAAATGTAACTTTGGCAGCAAGGGTCAGTTACAGGGGGAAGGAAGTACAGCACTAGAAAGATCACAAAGGGCAGAAACTCATAAGAAATTGCTCTCCTGGGTTCAGACAACCCACTATGTGTATAGTGCCTCCTCCAACAAGTCATAGAAACAGAGCAAGTCAGAAGTGGTCTGCCAGGCCATCTAGTTTGACCCCCGGCTCTAGCCAGCTCCTCTCATGACATGCCTACCATGTGCATGTCCAGCCTGTCCTTGAACACTCTCACCCATGGGGCTCCAACCACCTCCTGTGAAGCCCATTCCACACCCTCGGGGTCCTGTCAGGAAGTACTTCCTGGCATCCAAACTGAACCTTGGTTCGCTGAGCTTGGCTCCATTGGAACTCCACTGGAAGTCAGGGTTTGTCAAGGTGGCTTGCTCCATAAATTTAAGCCCCTTTGCAGAAACTGATCCTGGTTCAGAGAACATAGCAACCTATCATGGTTAACTGCCCACCCCCAAAACGACTGAAACGTGCACACCAGTTAATGGTTTAATAGTCTGTATTTTGTCTCCCACTTAGATTGTGTTGTGCTGCACTCCTCTGCCAGATTAAGTGTTCAGAATCTTTCAAACCAGAACTTTGTAACATTCATTATTCAGTGACTATTTGGCAAAATAACACTTACTCCCTTTACCTGCACTTTCCCCCCAGTGCCTGATGTCATTGATGGAAATACCTTTACAGCAACCGTGGTAGGTTTAAACCCATGGGTTGAGTATGAATTCCGAGTGGTTGCTGCTAGCCTTATTGGGATTGGAGAGCCGAGCAAGCCATCAGAGAAACGGAGAACTGAAGAGGCTCGTAAGTAGTGACACAAAAAGAAACACCCCACATGGCAATTCAGTCAATTTTAGTCTTTTTGTTAAAAAGCATCTTCTACTTGGTACAAATCATCTACAAGGGAGAAATGGACTGAATAGATCAAACATGCTTTATTTGTAGGGATTTCCAAAGATGTGTTATCCCTTCTCCCACTGAAAAGTGAAGAATGGAGGCATTGGATGGATTCCTTTTCATATGAGAGTAGCATAAGAGAGTCATTTCCTAAGCGCAGTTTATTTTTAATGTTCATATAGTGCCATTTGCTGAAAAGCCATCAAAATGCCACTGTAGCATTGACACCATCTTCTAGTGCTTCCTCCATGTTTTGGAGGGCCCTTTTTAGTGGTCCTTATCCCTTAATGAGTCTGCCTCCTTCTCACTGCTGCACCGGTTGTGCTTGTTCCTCATCCCCTTTGTTATCATTGCCACCACTTGTTTCCTTGACAGGCAGAGAGCCAGTGAGGAAGTGAACAGACATCTTGCACCTCCTCCTTTCCACCACCATTTTCTGGGCGAGGAGGCAGGAAAACAAACAGGAGCTTGGGCCCTCAGCTGGTGCTCAGCCATATTTTATTTTATTTTATTTATTTATTAAAATATTTCTATGCCGCCCCTTGCCGAAGCCTCGGGGTGGCTCACAACATCAAATAAAATACACAATAAATTAAAACAATAACAATTAAAATATATACAGTAGAATAAAATAACCCGCCCTGGCCAAATAAAATTCAATAATATTAACATTTAAAATGCTGCTTAAATAAAAAGATCTTCGCCTGGCGCCGAAAAACAAATAACGATGGCACCAGGCAGACCTCTCTGGGGAGCGCATTCCATAACTTAGGCGCCACCGCTGAGAAAGCCCTCCTCCAAGTAACCACTCTCCTAATTTCCTTCACTGAGGGCTCCCGGAGGAGGGCCTCTCCCGCTGATCTCAAGGGGTGGCTGGGCATATATGGACGTAAGCGCTCCTTCAGGTAACCAGGACCCAAGCCGTTTAGGGCTTTATAGGTCATCACCAACACCTTGAATTGGGCCCGGACTTCAATGGGAAGCCAGTGAAGCTGACAGAGGACTGGAGTCATGTGAGCATAACGTCCAGTTCCCGTCAGCAGCCTGGCAGCTCTATTTTGAAATCTTTGACCCCAGCTCTGCCTTCCCCAGTCCCACAACCTAGCTAAAGCAGGTAGGGATGAAACACATCTTGCAGTCTCGTGGATGTCCATCAAATGGTGCTAGTATGGGCAACATCTGGAACGAATAAGCAAGTGGCATGAAAATAGTAGCAGAGGGATTATACTGGTTCCCTCTGAGATCCCACTGGATTCTTCAAATGAGTCTCAGTAATTAGTGAAGGCCATTTTAGCCCACATACACATCTGCACCTGATATGTGCATAAACCATCCTTACCTTGAGGTATGTTTTTTCTCCATTGTTCTGCTTGACAACAATCACACAGAGCACTTTCAATACTTAACTGCATAGATTGTCCATCGTAAGAACACACAGTCATTTGCCCAGATTAATGGATTCATATTCATGTACATCTAGAGGTACAGCTCTTTGTGTAAAAATGTTATTTATGTATTTAGAATTCTAAAGAACTAAGCAACTGTTGTGGTCTATACGGACTTAAATCCTGTAGTATCCACAAGGCAAGCAGAAGACATAAAGTATCCAGCTTATTTAGTGGACTTCTGTTGACTCAGCTCAGTTGTTCACATGCACTGAAAGCTTCAGCACTATGTTAGCAACAAACATACTTTATGGATATAAAGAAATGAAACTTATTATTGAGGGAATAATTTTTAAAGCTATTTTGTCTTCACTATGTTGTCAGTTTTCTTCCAAATTATGTATTATGTACTCCCAAACTGAATCATAAAGATCCACTTAGAAAGCATTTTAATCAAACTTCAGATTAATACTTCTATTTTGCATTACAAAAAAGTCATGGAGATTTTTTCTCTTTTAAATTGTGTTACAAAAAGAGTGTATATTTACCTTAATAAAAGGTACATTTTTAAACTATGAGCCAAAATGTGAATTTTGTTTGCAAATATTTTCACTTTACTTCAAAAACTCAGAAACTGCTTTGAAGTGTTTGCTAATGATCTAGTTCTGTGCTAAAAGGTTCAAAGTCACAAAGATCACTTTCTTGTATAAACTCCTACTGCTATGTTGGAAGTGTTGCTGCATGTTTCTCTTATCTTCTGCAGTTCCTGAAGTCACACCAGCGAATGTCAGTGGAGGAGGTGGAACGAAGTCTGAGTTGGTCATAACCTGGGAGGTAAGAGACCTGTGGATTCAAGCTGGTGATGGATGGGGGTGAGGTGGGCTAAACTTTTAGTGCCAAGTTTACCATGTGCTGACTTTGAATTTTAAAATGCTGCATTGCCCCCGTGTCTCTCCTCTGAATTTAAAGGACAAAAAGATAGCAGGTTCTAATTTCAGATGGGCTAAGTGCTGAAACATGTTTGAGGACTTCGTTTTGTCTGCAGTCTTAAACAAATGAACCTGACTTGCATCTACCAGAAGAATACTGTGCATCAGAACACAGTTATCCTTCCGTTTCTACACTTGTCCAAATTTTGCAGTAAAGTTTCTGCTCCAAAATGTGTACATAAATGTTTTAGGATATAAAGCAAACAATAATGCATATGTGAAAGTAAAATATCTACAGAAATATTTTTCTTAATACATTAAAATAATGTACTTGTATGCATTCTTTAGAAAAATACAAGTATGTGTGGAAACAGGATTTATAACTTCATAAATGAACACCTGTGAAACTGACACATATTGGTAACAGGCCAAACAATCCCTCCCTCCAAAAAGGGCAAGGGAGCAGAAATGTACGTTAGTTACATATATAGACTAATTCCTTACTCAATCTTCCTTTACAGTATATCCTAGGAATTCTTATTTCCTATCAGGGAGGGTAGGGTCATCCACAGACAATTCTTATCACCTGTTTAAACTACCATTCAAAGGATTACTTGGAAGTAACTGCAGGCACAAAAGTGTTATAGCTTGAATTTTCATGGACTAGAGTCACCCTTATCCGATGCATGAATTACATGCATGCTGGTTTCAGTGTTCAGTTGGCAGGTTTAGAGAGGGGAAACAATGCGTTGCAATGATCAGGAAATGGCTCTGATACCCAGGAAACATGAGGGTTGTGGTCCATCGTATCTGGAAAGCATCAGATTAGGGAGGTTGGAGACAGAGTGCTGAAGTAGGACTGAAAAGCCCAGGTTCAAATTGCCTTACCAGAAGGCAATAAGGTTGGTCTACTACACCCTCCCTAGAACTCATGAAGTTCATGTCATGCCTACTACAAAAAAGCTGTCTCAAACTAGAAGACAGTAGTATGCCTATCTGCCATCATTCTAAACCATAAGTTGCAAGAAGTATAATTTAGATCTTTTTGAACTAGTAGCCCCAGAGCTTTTCTTCCTCAAATCCGTAAGACAATGTGTGCACTTCAGCACGTGCTAAGCCACTTGGTTTCAGTGGGGCAACACTTACATTCATACAAACATGTGTGTGTGTGTTTCATTCACTCACTCATTCATTCTGAAGATATTTTCTGGTCCATGTTAGACATTTTATCCAGAAGGTAAATGGTTGCTCAGATTCGGGTGTATTAAAGAGGTGAAGAAAGCATCGGTGTTGTGGGAGGACTGTGTTGTGGGTCTACTTCCTGGAAAGTTCAGCAGTGTACAGCACATTTGAGAAACCTCATTTTCTGCACCTGACTGGGACAGGCAACCGTTCTGCTACCGTGTTGTGGCCCCATTCATAGTTTGGCCATATTAAGGAGGGAAACTTACCACAATAAGAAAACCTGCAAAAGAGAAGAGGCTCTTTCACCCATAATCCTCTGCCAATTTGAGGCTGAACTTTCTGTTCTGCCAGACCTGGTGCCAGCAGTTTTAGATTGTCTTAACAAATATGCTTTTTCAAACTCCTCATTTCCTACCATAAGTTTCAACAAGGGTGTTTAGACACAGTTCTAGACAACCCTGAGGCTCCAGAAGCTTATCAGGTTCCATCTTTACAAGAATGCTAATAGCAGCAGCTTGCTTGCTTGCTTTTCCTTCCTTCCTTCCCTCCCTCCCTCCCTCCCTTTCTCTCTTTCTTTCTCTTTCTTTTCTTTCTTTCTTTCTTTCTTTCTTTCTTCTTCTTTCTTTAGGAGGCTTCTATGCCGCCCCATTCACCGAAGCCTCGGGGCGGCTCACAATAATAAATAAACACAATATAAAAACAATGTAATTTGAGTCAACCTGGCCAAGAATAAAATAAATAAATGATATTAACAATTAAAATAACATTTGAATAAAAAGGTCTTCGCCTGGCGCTGAAAAACAAATGACGGCACCAGGCAGACCTCTCTGGGGAGCGCATTCCATAGATTGGGCGCCACCGCAGAGAAAGCCCTCCTCCGAGTACCTACCCTCCTAATATCCTTCACGGAGGGTTCCCGGAGAAGAGCCTCTCCCGCAGATCTCAAGGGGCATGCCTCTGAGAAGACCATTTGCCTTCATTATCAGTCTCCTGGAGAGTGTTATGGAGGGTATACTCTCAGTTCAGCCAAGACAGAAGATACGCAACATAGCTAACAGTGCAGCTGGTGAGTTCCCCTGAACGTAAGTAGTAACACCATGGTGGTATAAGAATACAAAGGAGTAGGGCTGGAAAAACTCAGCTCTGTGGTTTCCTCTAACCTTTTTCAAGTTCTCCAAAGAAACTTTTAGAAAACAAAACAAAATTATTTATGCCTCTGTTATTTACACTAACCTCCCAAAAGTTACCGCCTTTCCCTTTTTTGGCACACAGATATTATAACACTGAGAAGTGTCACATTTATGACTCAGATCTAAAGAAGCGACATACATCAGTGGGATCTCTTCATCAATGGGAACTGCTGCAGTAAAAACAGAAAGTAAACCTTCAGTTGCTCATGCAGTTCTGTCTTCTCTCTCTGTTATTTGGATCAGTTCCCAGCCATTGTATTTATTGGAGACATTCAACTTCTAGGAGCTGCCTTGCAGATGGCAGTTAGATTCTTCAGCCTTGATTACTAGCTGTCTATGATGTTTAGAGCTGTAGTTGGTTTCTCTTCTGACTTATGTGATTTTCAAACAAGATGCTTCCAAGGGAGTAAACAGACTGTTAAAAGGACATGACAGCACTAAAACATAGGATGTGTTTCAAGCCGAGTGCTTGTTTATTTTGCCAAGTAGTGTGTTTCCAAACTTGTCTATGTGGATTCACTAAATTTCTTACAGATAAATTGTGGTGTGCCATTTTGAAAGTTCATCCTACAGACCAGGCTGTTGCTGTGTTTTGTATCTTGCTACAGACAGTTCCTGAAGAATTACAAAACGGAGGCGGGTTTGGCTATGTTGTTGCCTTCCGTCCACTTGGCACAATAAGTTGGATGCAGGCTGTTGTGGTTTCTTCTGACGCCTCCAGATACGTGTTCCGGAATGAGAGCTTACCCCCATTTTCCCCATATGAAGTCAAAGTGGGAGTGTACAACAACAAAGGAGAAGGTCCTTTCAGTCCCATCACAATTGTTTTTTCATCTGATGAAGGTAAAGTCTAGACGGAGCCTAATGAACTGCTATCTGTGTCAGGCTGGCAGTTTTTGAAATGGTCTTTTAGCAGTTGGCACATTCTACTGATTTCTGGGCATGCTTGTAATAAATGGAATTATTAGAATTCAGTCACCTGCAAATTGATATTAATATTGAGGAGATGTGTGATAGAATATGTTAAGCTGCTGAAGAAGACCTCTTAGGTCAAAACATTCTCACAAACTGAACTGCTAATTTCTAATTTTGATGTTTAATAGTACCATGTGAATTTTACCAGGGTTGACAGAATCTATTCTGTCTATTAAGTCTATTCTGATATTTTACTAGGATTATATGTTTTGTATGCTTGAATTATGGCAATTTGATAAATTGCAGTGCAGGCTTTATGTCTGTGCGTGTAGACCAAGGATGGAGAAGGGGGAGATGCAATGTGCCTTATGCTCAAGCTGCCCAGTTCAGTGGCTTTAATGTGTCACATGAACAAGCACATTCTGTTGCATTGCATGGGAGAGAAGCTATGGAACTGCTCTTTTCATTGGCAGGGCAACACCTTGGGCAAAGTCTATTTCCAAATTGAGGGTAATTTTCACCCATGAGGTTCGTACCTTTATGATCCAAACCTCACTTTATGCATTTGATTCCAAACAGTACTTACAATGAAGAGGAGTAACCATAAAGAGAGCCTACCATTCACTCTTGCTGCTTCTTTTTTAGAACCTACCAGAGCGCCAACCAATGTCTTTGCCAAAAGCCTTTCTGCTTCAGAGGTAGAAGTATTTTGGTCCTTGCCGCCAGAAACACAGAGAAAAGGAAGAATACAGGGCTATGAGGTAGGAACTTAAGATACTGCATGACCCTGCGATAAACAGCTGTATTCAGCAGCTGTATTGCTAACACTGCTTATTACCATGTTTAGTCTGAAATTCCCTTAGAAGTGCAACAAAATGGTTTTAAACTAACAGCTGAAAATGCTAGTGCAATTGGTGTCAGTGGACTTGGAGAACATGCAATTACAGCTCTTAGTACATTGTACTGCAAGGTGGGAACACTAGATTTTGGCACAATGCATAAACAATCAGCTGTTTCCTCTAAACATATCACAGGAATATGCAGCATAAAGCCACAGCTCAAGTCTAAATGCCAGTTTACTATACATTGTGTCTGAAATGGGAGCCCCTGTTCATATACACAGCCATCTGCACAAATACAGGAATAGCTTTTCCAAATCGTTTTGAGGGGGAGTTGCCCAGCCCCCCGCAGTGTATGCTGTGGGCAAACGATTGCCCAGTAGACCCCTCCCACCACCCCTTACATCCACCTCAACCTGAGCCAGGGGATTCTTAGACATTCCAGCCTGACAGTTCAAGCCACAAGCCTAACATTCTAAACAGCAGTGAGACCCAAGTTCTGAATTTAATACTGAGGCTTAAATGGAATAAGCGCACACAATGCTTGAACTAGGTGTTAAATTTATGTACCAACAGGAAATAGGAGAAAAGAAATAAAAAGATGTACATCAATAAAAGAAACTAGAAAAGCAAAGCAGGCAAAATAATAAGTTCATACCTAATCCTATCCTCTTTTTTTCTAAATAAGGGTCTTCCAATAAGAGGGATGCAGGTGGTGCAGTGGTTTAAACTGCTGTGTTGCTGGGCTGGTTGATCGAAAGGTTGCCGGTTCGAATCTGCACAACGGGGTGAGTTCCCGTTGCTCTGTCCCAGCTCCTGCCAACCTTGCAGTTCGAAAGCATGCAAATGCAAGTAGATAAAAAGGTACCACTTTGGTGGGAAGGTAACAGCATTCTGTGCACTTCGGTGTTTAGTCATGCCGGCCACATGACCACGGAGACTGTCTGTGGACAAACGCTGGCTCCCTCGGCTAGGAAATGGAGATGCGCACCACTCCCTAGAATCAGATATGACTGGACTTTAATGTCAAGGGGAAACCTTTACTTTTAATAGGCCTAGAATCCATGAATCTACAAGCCTGGAGGCAAGCTGGCACAGATAAAGCACAGAAAAAGATGAAGACCAAATGAAGGGCAGCAGGAGCACCTTACACATGCCCCAGCATGCTTTACACCTGCCTGCAGGCCCTTGACAAATGCAAGGTGGACCTCCATCGCAAATCTCCAGCTGACTGGACAAGTTCTTTAAAGCTAAACCCGAGTCAATTGCCAACTGGCTAAATAATTCTCTGAATAGGAAAGCCTCCTTAGCAAATCATTGGTGGGCTGAGGAACTTCCTTGCTTTCAGGAGAGATGGAGGTGGTGAAGATCTCCCAGTAGAGCCCAGCTGAAAACAGTGTATCAGCTCTGGCTGGAGTCCAGCTCTGGCCATGAAGTATGGAGGCTGAAACAACAAATCATATTTGTTGGTGGTTTAAGGGATGTACACAGCCCCAACTTCACAAAATGGAGTATCTACTGGCATTTAAATCAAAAAGGACCAGATGGATTCCTTGACGGAAGTATTTTGAATGTAAACTTGCCCTTACACAGCTAAGTTCAGACAACACAAGTGGGGTGATTGTGACTGTGAAAGTTTCACCATAGTCTCTAGCTCATCATGAGTAATTTGCTTCCTCCCCACCCACTTCCTCCTGGTGGCATCCCAAGAAACCCAAGGGGGAACCATCTCCTTCCTCCGTCTGATTGTCAGAGGATTTCAGCTCCCCACACCTGTCAGAGAGGTGGGACACTTAATTGAATTAACACAGTCAATTAGCTATATTGGCTCTCAGAACAGTTTACAAAACAAGCAATCTGAAAACATAAACATGCACTATTTTACCAAACATCACAATCTATCACAGGGTGGTTAAAAGGCTACCCACAATAACAATAAATAGTAATAAAATATATAATAAAACCAAATCATGCCATACCAATGACTAGTAAGATAAAAACCAATATAAAATCCATAAATTAACAGTTAACTTAATACTTACATTAACAATTAAAATGCTGGGAAGATAAAAAGATGCCAAAATAAGTAGAGTTGGTACCAGGCACATCTCCCTACAAAACTTGATTCCCTTTTTCTCATTTGACATAAAACAGGAATCTGGCAAACCCGTTCCATTAAAAGAAACTGCCCTTAACTCCTCATTTTACCATAGTTTTTAACTAATGCAGCTTTGAGCCACCACAGTCCACAGGTGTTCTGTAACTGAGACCTGGCCCCAGTTACCATGTTAAAGCATTTTGCTGTGCAGCTGGCACACCCTAAGAAGTGGCTTGTTCACTATTGCTATGGCAAGTTAACAGCTGTTGGAGACTCAATTTCACGATTCAACTTGGATTTGACTTGGCAGCAACGCGCAAGTGACTTGATTTGACTCAGGATTTCTACATTCTTTTTAACTGAGTTGCGGTCTGCATTTCTTACAACCAAGGACTTACCGTGTGGCAGATAACCTGGGAGGCAGGCATGAAAACAGCAGAGACGGTGGTAGGGAGGGATTTTCAAGGGGAAGGATAAGGAGGAGAGGTTGCAATGGGGAAAGGCAAGCTTAAGGTCTTCTTTCTGGCATGAGGAGGCAGTGGGAGGGAAGGAATTTTGCTTAAGTAAATCGTGGTTGAAGGACTTCAGTGCATCACTGAGAATATGGGAACATTGGGGGAGGGGGTGACAGCCTTCCCACCTTCCACCACACACACACACACACACACACCACCTCCCTTTCTTCTGTTAAAGTTGGCTCTTGAGACTCGACTCAGAAATTTCTTGCAATGATTTGAGACATGGACTTGAAAGTAAAGACTTGAAACTTGACTTGGAGTAAAGGACTTGAACACATCACTAGTTAATAGCAACCATATACTTAGTAACAACAGTGGCAATATAGTAGCACCAGTGAATGGAATGGCAGGGATTTGGAGCAACTGGTTTAGGAATACACTTGCAGTTTTATCAGATGTAGCTTTGATAGTGCAAATCAAACCCAACCTGGTGGGCATGTCAGAAGGATCCTCCAAAGGTTGTTTTTATCTACTTGGAATTATACTTGCTATGTTAGTATAGTATAATAATACCATGATAATAATTACAGTATGTGCAAGTATAATTCCTACTTGGAATTATGATTTATGTAGCAATCCTTTCAGTTGTGGATTCCAAATAAGGAAGCATGTTTTTTATTGGTGCAGGTTAGATATTGGAAACACGGGGATAAGGAGGAGCAGGCTGGAAGAATGAGAACCTCGACCAATCAGACCTTTGCAAAACTCACCCATTTGAAGGGCCATTCTTTGTACCACTTGGCCGTCAAAGCTTACAACACAGCAGGGATGGGACCTTCTAGTGCTGTCGTCAATGTGACAACCAAAAAGCCACGTGAGTGTGGGAGAAGCACTTCTTTTATGCTACTGTTATTATATTCCACTTCTGCAAGCAGCCTTATTCAAATGTTCGCTACATCCCTGGCCGTATTAATCAAGGCACAGAAAATGGAAATCTTAACGGGCCAGGAAAGATAAATATTTGTCTTTCTGTTCGTAGCAGAGACTCCTGCTACTAGTCACCAGCATACTGATTTGGCATCCAGTTCCCTTTTTTGTGTATAGCACTTTGTCATGTCTTATCTGCTGCTGACTTTGAATATACATGTTTGTCCCACAGCTCATTAACTTGCCAAATATAAGCATTCACAGCTCCTCAGACACTGTATAGAGGCTATATCCGCATTCGCACAAGGAAAACCTTGCCACTTAATAACATTCAGCTCCTTATGTTTTGAATTCAGCACCAAGTCAACCTCCTGGAAACATTATATGGAATTCATCGGACTCTAAGATTATACTGAACTGGGATCAAGTGAAAGCACAGAATAATGAATCTGAGGTGAAAGGATACAAAGTAGGTATCAGGCAACAAAGCATCCAGTTATTTGTCTTTGCTGTAAGAGAATGAGTAGAGCTGCTCTACTGCATGAATCACCAAATTAACTAAATGTGAAAGTGTAAATTGTATGATGGGATCAGAAAGTGAGTTAAACAGTTCATTTGAGCTATGTTCCTAAGCACCCTTCCTCATCTTCCATTAAAATCAATACATAAGTAAAAGGGTGGGAAATTTAGCCATATTCTACCTGGGCCTCCAACAAGTGTGATCGGCCAATGGCCATTCCAGGTAGAAGGACAAAGCGCAGCACCCTGATCCCAAGCCAAACTAAAGCACCATCACTTGTACCCGTGCAAGCTGCCTGACATCTTCCTACTTGTCAGCGCTCTACATATGATAGGAGTGTCCTCTTGACACTTTGCCACTTTTGTCCATGTAGTAGAACTATTTTGCAGTTTTGCCTCAGTAGGAAAGCAGCTGATCATCCTGTAGACTTTGAGGGAATTGTGCTTAATATAACCATTCACTTCCTTGTCCAGCTGCCTCTGTACTGACTTTCCACCTGTTGTGCCCACCTGAATTGCTGCAACAGTCACTAAAATGGTATCGTATTACAGCTGTTAGCAGTGCACTGATGTACGGATGTATAAACATGTTTCCTTGGGCCAGGACTTGACTGTTAGTTCAGCTAAAAAAACTCAAAGCAGAATAGAAATGGAAAGAATAGGAAAGGGCCTCCCCAGTGTGAGGGGCATCTTATATTTAAGGGATAGCAGAAGGGAAGAGCTCCAGATGTGTTTAACTCCCAGAAGCCCCTATTAGGTCAAGAATCCTGGATGAAGTCCAAAACATCTGGAGATCCTTTATGTATGGTGATATGCCAGTCAGAGATTTTTTTACACATTTCTTGTGCTCTCGTGATTCCATACTTAAGGTGATTTATGGGCTCTATAGATGATGGCTTGATCCTCCAGTATTGTTTCTGTTTTTTAAGCACTTTCCATTTGTTTGCTTTTTAGCATGGGGAAAATGAGCATTATTTCAGAATGGGGGAAATGGTGCTGTTTCTCCTTGAGCTATTCTGATTTAGCACAGTTCTGCCAAGAGGTTATTGTAATAAAAAAGCAGGAAACAAAAAGTGCCTTGTGATTAAATTGAAAGTAGCTACAGTGATTAAACATCTTCATGTAGAAAAGCTTTCAATGATTACACAGGAGGATTGTAAAGCTGCATGAACAGGTCTGATTTTGCAAAAACAATGAACATAAAGCATTAGAAAATGTAAGTAAGTATGGGCAGTACCTATTAATCCATGCATTATTTAGGTACAGTAAGTCAAGAAGCTTTATGACTCCTAGAAATCAAAACACCGGTTTTAAAAATGGGAGGGCTAATTACAGCCCAAGAAAAATAAGCTATTTCTAAGTCTCTTCCTCCCTTTTCTTATTTCACCATGTTTCCCTTGGCCCAATATATTTTCTAGGTTTTATACAGATGGAATAGACAAAGCAGCACTTCTGTTATAGAAACTAACAAAACATCTGTGGAGCTTTCACTGCCTTTTGATGAAGATTACATCATAGAAATAAAACCATTTAGCGATGGAGGAGATGGCAACAGCAGTGAGCAGATCCGAATTCCAAAGATATCAAGTACGTGTCCTTTTGTCTAGATGTACCATGAAAAGCATAGTTTGGGCAGTCTCCTGTTTTCTTCCTTTTTTGCACCTCCAGGCTGCATTCTCAAACTGAATTTTGAATGAAATTTTAAATGAAAAACATTCTCCAGCCTCCTCCATCCTACCAAAATCTCTCCCTTTCCTTCTTCTTGTATTATTCCTGACCTCCGAGAGGCAGCCCGTGTGGTTCTGACCATGCTAGCTGCCAAAGGAATGGGGGCTGGAGCATGTGCTTCCCCCTCCAAGGTTGGAGCATATCTTCAGCCTTGGGTCTGGGAATGCAAAGAACCCTGTGGTACTTACTTCAAGTGCTGGTCTAGGGGCCATAGGTTTGCTCTCTTAGTCTTTCTTTGAAGTGCTACCAGATCTTTCACTGTAAAGGATAAACAAAGCTCTCTCTCTCTGGAAGTTGTTGTTCATTTCCAGGTAGATAGAACCCTATGTACCATAAAACATCTTTTAAAAGCACATAACTTCTGCTGATGGAAAACCTCCAGGTAACAACACCCAAACATGTGAAACTGCCACACAATTACAGTGAATAGGGATGATGTTCCATGCAGAACTCTGCATGGGCATGAAGAATCCTCTGGCCTCCTCTTCTTTCTTACCTTGTATTGAACTTCTTTGCCTTAATTTAATTAAACGACTCTGGAGGAGCATTTTAATTTAACGCAAGTATATGGATGGCTCATCTAAGTAAAGCTGCACTGTATTAAGCCTTGATTTATTTCTTCTTCTCCTAGATGCATATGCAAGAGGATCAGGAGCTTCTACTTCAAATGCTTGTACATTGTCAGCCATCAGCACAATAATGATTTCCCTCACAGCTAGATCAAGTTTATGACAAAAAATATCTAAAGGACTTCCTGTTTATAATATAACTAAGCAACATTTAGCTAGTTGTTTTGAAGACACCCAGTACTAAGTAATATTGTTGTTCGAGTACATCTTACTACTGGAAAAAAATGTTTTATGCTTCTCTAGGAATGGCATTATACAGTACTTCCTCAAAGCAAATATAGCTTTGTCTGAAGTTTCCTTGGAAACTCTGCAATGCACTGAAAACATCTGTAATATGATGTTACCAAAGCAGTTTACATATGTCCTTATATGCATATTTTTTATTATATATTTAGTGTTTTATAGACTTTTTTAAAGTTAACATATGATGTAGATATTAATTTCTTTTCCCCTCTGCTATAAAATGCTACTGATGACATATCATTGCAAATATATATTGTTTTGGAATGTTTTATGGCCGGAAGGTCAGCGATCTCGGTAAATTGGTTTCCAGTTGATTGTACAGTTTTACAAGAATGCACATTGGTAGAGCTCTTTTGGCCTTGATCCATCCTTCAGGGCATTTGGGCATCTTTGCGCATGGAAAGGATCCACACAGGCATTCTAGGGACCCTTCCCACCACTTGGCCTCAGGTTCTGCTGCTGCTGCTGCGTTCAAAGCACTGCAGTGCTTCTGGACACTGCTGACAAGGCGGGGTCCTCACTGTGCCCCTAAGTAATGGCCCTATAGTCCCCTGCAGGACTTGCCCCTAACAGACAGAGGAGTGGGCACATGGCATACCAGCATCACAGCTGAAGAAGGTTCACTGGAATACCTGTGTGGAACATGCCGCTGTTTAAAAGCTGTTAGGATGGTCTTGCTTCCAGTACTTTTGACCTACTAGATTTCATTTTTGACCAAAATGAATCCAAAACAACTTTCAATGCATTTGCTTTCAGATTTGTGTAAGTCAACTGCATAATATCATCTAGGTAATATGTCAATATGATGCATAGCAAGATTTTTTCTGAATGTACTAATTTATATTTCTCTAAAAATTTAACAAACGTTAATATAAATTCCATTTAGTTGTCATTGCTGTTATAGTAATGTAGATCAGACGCTGCTATAGCAAAGGACCACATTCTGAAAGTAGCGACAATCTGAAATTCTAACAACAATTGAACTATTTCTTTGATTCTAGATGTGCACCATTTTAATCAGGAAGACTGTGAGTCTGGGCGGTTTTAAATGAAAGTTAATTATGCTGATTTCTTGTCTGAATATATCTTTCTTTTGACAGGTACATGTTAATTGTAATTCTCTAATGATTTGTTTCATAAACTGAATTACAAAATTAGCTATGTTTATATGATCTTGATTGACTATAGGTCATGGACTAAACCTAATAAATAACATTCTAGTGAATACTTCTCTAAAAAGGCTTTTTCCATTAAAATGTATATGTCTGGGTGTCTCTATGCACTTCCAAATAGCTCCTTTATTTTAAGTATTCAAATCTTCCTGTCTTTCTGCTTAGTAGAGGTGATCAGGACTGCAATCTTGAGAGTGTTCTGAAGATCCAGGTTTAATTTGCTTGGCCAGCTCTCTTCATACACATCAATAAAATTCCATTGAAATGTGACAGTGCTTACCGTCTACCATGTTGAGTCTCATACAGCCATTCTTCATTCCAGCAGAGCTTGTGCTGGAGCCAAGTTTGGAGACTGCCCCATTCCAGTGAGTTGGGTGTGCATGCAGAGGCTTCAATGCTTATGTGAAGTTTTACACAAGCTTGCTTGTGCAGAGCGCCATGCTTACACCAGAGTCTGGCACAGTACTGGATCACGGCCAAAATGTACAAGAAAAATATATTAATACAAAAAGGGTTCTTTCTTACTATGAAAATTTTGTAATATGCTCAGATGGAACAATGATAGTTAACTAGCAATGAAATTTTCTATTTTTCCCAAGTTTAAACATGCACTGCAGAGGCTTTTAATTTGTTCTTCCTGATAGCTTATATTTGCTTGTAACTTGTCTCTTTTGCTTCCAGAACAATACAAGCTAACTTTTAAACCTTTCAAAATATATTTATTAAGTAACTCATAATCAGGATTCCACTTGTGTAAGTTGGGGGTGTTAACCAGAGAAATATTGTCAGTATTTCAAGCTGTGTTCCTTTCTTAGTTTGATATTATTACTTCTATGTAAAAACAAAAACAAAGAAAAAAACCAACAAAAGAAAGAAAACAGAAAAAAAGCTTATGTAGTTTTTCTCCCCAGTGTAAATGATATTTATCAGTGATCTAGCAGATGTAATCTTTTTTAAAGTTATTGGTAATAAATATTATGTTATTTGTAAAGATTCTTGTCTTTAGGGGTATTTTTCCTGTATTCTTTGTGGTTTGTGTTAAATAGTTCCATGACAGCCTGCTTCCAAACATCTATGGCATAGCATCCATTTTAATGCAAAATGGATTATAAAAATGCACTGGCCCTGAGTTTCAGGATCAGTGATGAGCAACTTTCCCCAGATCCAATTTGGAATGGGCTCCGTTAAAATTTTTGACTTAGAACTGAACTGTTTTAATTGCAGGTCCCATTTCTTACTGGGAACCCATGTCAGTGCTGCCTCTGGGAGGGTGGAAAGGACTAAATATCCGCCCAAAGGAATCCCTGCTATGAGCAAGGCCACTACAAGACCACCGGCACCACGCCTTCCCTCCACAAAGGCTTTCCGTGGTGGCTATGGCATCTATGGCTATAAAAACCACTGGAAATGCAGTTTTTTGTCTTGACTCTTCTAAGGTTCCTGGCTCCCCTAGCTGTTGCTGTAGCATGGTTCTGTGTGCCTTTTCTAGCTATCAGGAACCATGGAAACTGTTTTTCCAATGGTTTCTGATATCCGTGTGTGTTTCTGTGCATATCTGTAGCAATGATGAGCCTCCTTATTGCTACCACTAAATAAATTTTGGAATAAGAAAGAGAAATAAGCAGTTTCAAAAGTGCATAATGGCCCAAAACCTCCAGAATGTCCCGCACGAACTCAACATTGTCTTCGGGAGCCTGAAAAAATGCACATTTGAAATCCTTTCTATTTCAAACCATCTAAAAAGTGAGAGATGACTGGAGAAGGGCTACCATTTTCCCTATCTTCAAAAAGAGGAAAAAAGATGAACCTGGGAACTACAGACCAGTTAGCCTGACATCAATCCCTGGAAAAATTCTGGAGCAAATTATTAAAAAAATGTCTGCAAGCATCTTGAAGACAATGCAGTGATTAATAGATGGCAACATGGATTTATCAAAAATAAAATCTGTCATACTAATTTAATATCATATTTTTGGGTAACCTTCCAAATGGACAGAGGAAACACTGTGGACATAATCTACCTAGACTTTAGCAAAGCTTTTGACATAGTTCCACATGACATTCTGATAAGCAAATTAGCTTGATAGAAAAACAATTAGGTGGCTGCTGAATCAGACACAAAGAGTGCTCATCAATGGCCTCAAATTGGATAGAGGTAACTAGTGGGGTGCCACAGGGTTCAGTCTTGGGCCCAGTGCTCTTCAACATTTTTATTAATGATTTAGATGAGGAAGTACAAGGAAAGATCATGAAATATGCAGAAAATACAAAACCGGGTGGAATAGCAAACACTCTAGAAGATGAAATAAAGATCCAGACCGATCCTGATAAACTCGAACACTGGCCTGAAAGTAACAGAATGAGATTCAGTAAGGACAAGTACCAAATCTTCCACCTAGGAAAAAGAAACCAAACGTATCCATGCAAGATGAGGAATATGTGGCTCAACAAAACTGAACAAGAAAAAGAGTAATTGTGGACAATAGGCTAATTATGTGTCAACAATGCAATGCAGCCGCCAAAAGAGCAGGTGCTATTTTGAGATGCACTGATGGAAGTATTACTTCCAAATCACGAGAAGTAGTTTCCCTATACTCCTCACTAGTCAGATATCATTTGGAATACATTGTCCAGTTCTGGGTACCAAGATTTAAAGAAGATGCAGAAAAATTAGAAAAGGTGCAGAGGACGACAACAAAAAAGCTCCAGGGTTTGGAAACACTGCCCTGTGAGGAGAGACTGGAAAAACTGGGCATGTTCAGCCTTGAGAAGATGGATGGGGGTGTGGGGGATGACACATGGTCTCACTCTATAAGTACCTCAAAGGTACCTAAAAATACCTTTCCTGTCACAAAGAGGAAGGTCAAGATCTCTTCTTGCTGATACCAGAGTGCAGGACATGGAATAATCAATTCAAGCTGCGACAACCCAGATTCAAGCTGAACATAAGGAAAAGCTTCCTCACTGTCACAGCAATAGGACAGTGGATCCAGCTGCCTAGAGAGGTGGTGGGCTCTCCCACACTAGAGGCCTTCATAAAGAAACTGGACAGCCACCTGAGTGGGATGGTATAACTTGGTGTCCTGCAACAGCAGGGGGTTGGAGCCAATGGCCTTCATGGCCCCTTCCAACTCTACTATTCTATGATTCTATGATAATCAGCCTCATTATACTCCTTACAAACTGATTTAGTTTCCAGCCAACTTATTTGATGACTCATTGTGCTCCAACTGGACATTTACAGGTTTGTCTTTTTCTCCACACTATCTACATGGTAGAAAATGAAAGGAATCTGGAAAGAGACTGAGGAGACTTGAAACCCAATAGAAGACAATGGTATCATCTACCTATAATGATTTTCCATTCATTTCAACATAGAGAACTGTGCCCTCTATGCCAACATAAGACTTTAGCTCTGTGCTACAGTGCTGAGGTACAGAGACAAATTGGTTTACTATGTGACAGAAGATTTCCTAAGCAACAGATCTTCAGAACATGGACACTCAAGTAAACTGACTGCAGCATAAAAACAGGGAGGGGTGGACAAGTGCAGCTATCAGAAGAGAGTACCTAGAGAAGTAAGAAACACTGACAATCACAAACTATGGAAACAATTTCTCCCTTCAATATGGTTGCCCAGGATAGCCAAAATGCCTTGAAAATGGCATTCTCTCAAGGCAATCTAGACTCTTGTTGGCTGCCTTATGCTGTCAGATTAGCCAGCCAGCTAGCTTGGCATCCTGAGTGGCATCAGCTTTCCTGATTTTCAAACAGAAATCTTTCCCAGCCTTACCTGGAGATATCAGAGACTCAATGCTGGACCGTTTGTCTGCAAAGCATATGTTCTATCACTGAGCTATAGCCCTTCACTTATGGCCTTCTGCAGTTCTGCCCCTGTGACCCAACCATGGGTCCCCATCCACACATAAGTCAGCAACAGCTTTGGGTAATGTCACACTACATCAGCTGTTCAAGCTGCTATTGCTACACACATCATGCTAATGCACTGGTGCATCGTATCAGGAAGTCTCTTTGAAACATGATGCTATGAACTCATTACTCCCTGTCGTAAGCACGTGTCTGCCAATGGGTAGCCCCAAGGACAGATTTTTAAGTACTTTTAAAACTTTAAGTACCTTTCCTATCCTTACAAGAAAAGTCATCTACATTACTTTGATTCGTCAGAGAATTTCCCCACCCCAAAAGATGCAGCAACTGTTTACAGTATTTGCTGCTGAGACAATGCCCATCTGGCTTTTGTCAGTAACACTAAAACTCCAGGAGGTGGGTTTCATTTTTATTTATGAAACATTAATCAGAAGCACAAACATTTGTCCAATTGTGCTAAGCTAATATACATATCTTTCATGTTTAATCATATCCTGTGGTTATACAGCCAGCTTGGTAGCTAAATACTGAACATTACAGACAGTTTCTAATCACTGAGCTTGACATACATATACATTTATACTCTCTCTCCTGCTGCTGCTATCTATTAAGTGTATTCTGCAGTTCAAGCATGGATTAGCATTCTTTTCCAACAAGTTATCTTCTTGTGAAAGGTATTTGTTATAACAATTGGAAATGCCTCCGTATCATTTGCTTGCTGTCCTGTTCTATTATTTTGGACACAAAACATTTTACCTATACCTTGCTGACAAATCACTAGATTAATTGCTATATAATCACTACAACCACTGCATTGACAAGTGTTTCCATACCTGGCCCACCTAATAATGTTTAAGACCAGATGAGCAGCTTGCATACCTCACAGCACTGCCCCCAAAATGCATCATAAACCTGAATCATAGCTCATATTTTATCTAAAAGCCTGAGGAAACAGCGCCAGAAGCTCCTCCCTTGACCATGCAGCCTCCAGTATGAAGCAGGTCCTTTATGTGAATGTCTTTCTGTGCAGAAACCCCAATTACATGATTCATTCAGCAACAACAACAGAGGGCCAGATTCACGCTGTTAGTTGTGTGCAGCAGCAGTGGCCACCCTGTGGTCCTCCAGCTCTTGTGGCCTACACCCCTTGCCAGCCCAGCCCAGAACACTCCAAGATGAGGGATCATACGAGTGCTGCAGGCCACAACACCTGGACAGCCTCAAAACCACACAGTATTATACAGCCACCTCTCACCATCTTCTGTGTCAGAGCCATCCTGGCTGAATGTGTGAGCCATGGCTCTGGAATCTATTTGCACACAAACAACTTGCAGTTATTGAACTACTACACCAAGGGTAAGGGGACATTTTTAGCAAGTCACTATCCCTCACAGAAAGATGGTTATGGGCAACATGCCAGCTGTGAGTGGAACCAAAGCATACAACCCCTATTTACACATCCACATTCACACACTGCCCTGCTTGCAGATATCATTAGACCTCTCCACTGACACCCACTGAATCATCCACACAACCACTGAACCACGCACATGGGTTCTGGGTGGCTTTTTAACTACCACAAGCCATCCACACAGGGTTCACATGACATGGCGAACAATGCTGGCAAGGGTAAGTATGCAAATTCCCCCAGCATGTGACCAGCACGTACAGCATGCAAGATAAGCCGCCATGGCTTATCTCCCCGCCATCATCTGTGGATACAACAAGTATAAGGCAGCCTCCTACACCACTGCACAAAACTTGGAGTCAGTACAGCCAATTCCTAGCTAGAGTGACTAGCACTCTGACCTGGCATGAATCAGATGCTTATGGACCTAGTTCTGCTTCACTGTCTAACAACCAAACACTGCTTGATACAGGTTTTTTTTTCCACATTACACAGTGACAAAAAAACAAACATGCAAACAGTGTAACAAAACTGAAAAACAACCATACTGGAAAGCTGGAGCCAGATGTGTCTTATCTGGCTCCGGATCTTACGTAAAATGTTCTAAACATTCATTACCTCTCTTTTACAGCATTACCGCAGGCAAAACATAGTATAATTA